AGCTTTTTTTGTAAATTTTTTGGCATTTCTACATAGACAATCACATTGTCTATTAATAGAGATAATTTCACGTCTTCCTTCCCAGCCTGAATCCCCTTTATTTATTTAGTTAAATTTAGTGCAAACTGATGGAAGTGTATCTCAAGAATCTTGAAATTTAACAAGGTGGGTAGAGAATTTCAGAAATGATTATAACAGACAGCACACCTAGAAAATATAGATGGTGATTATCCCAGTTCAGTTCTCTTTTAAGATCGGCTATATGACAGTTACTGAATGCACACAGCCGCCCCTGCTGTAGGGGATTTGGAACACACTGGCAGGAATACAAAGTCCCTGCCCTCATGGGGGAGATAAACAAGATACACACAAAACAGTACACATGTGTGAAAATACTAGGCAGTGATCGCTGCTCTAAGAAAAATGAAGTAGGAAAAAACAGAAACATCGTGACTGAGGGGACGGGCGGTTAGCTGGGGAAGGCCTCTCTGAGGAGGTGGCCTTTGAGTGGACCTAAATGAACGGAGGAGCCAGACAAAATCCAGGCCAAGGGAATTCCGGGCAGAAGGCACAGCAAGCAAAAGCCTTGGGACAGGTGTGCGCTTGACATTTTCAAGGAGGAGCAAGGACACTAAGGTCACTGGAGCGTCATCACCGGGAGAGAGTGGTAGGAAGTGAGAAAGGGGAGAGAGCTGCCAAACTGGAGTGTTTTACGCGTGTGGAGAAACTCGGACTTTATTGTGAGTGTCACAAGAGGCCACTGAAGGACGTGGAGCGTGGGGTGACTGTTCTGATTTATTCTTCAGACACACTATAGAATGGCGTGAGCAGGAGGCAGCGAAGCCCGGGGGGAAGCTAGTTCATGTTGAGAGGACGGTGGCAGGGCAGGGGGGATAGAAGTTCTCTTTGGCTTGGAAATAGCTGGGGCAGCTGGTGAAGACGGTTCCGTAGCTGACGACGACGGGCAGGCTCTGGCTTCGGCTGTCACGCATCCTCAGGGGCAGGGGTCGGGGCCCTGAGCATCCTCACTCTGACTCACCCTCCTCCCTGCGCTTTCCCCTCGAGTTGCCGCAGTGCACGATCACACTCTCCTGCCCGTTTCTCTCAGGGCCTCTCGCGCCTGTGCCCTTGGCTCGTGCTTCCGGCGCAGGAGCCTCCGTGCCTTTCCACCGGCACACCAAGCCCGTCTACACCGGCTGCTCCTGCGTGCAAAGCTCTTATACTCACATTTCACGTTATTTCAAATATTTTTCCTGTTTCTGGTCATATTTCTCAAGTCTCAACTCAAGTACCAGTTTCTTGGAAACTTCTGACTCCCCTACTTAAAACTGGCCCTCAATCATAATGTGATATTCTTTTTATCTGCTGCCCGTTTATCGTCTGTCACGAAAACACACTGCAGGAGTACAGGAAACTCGTCCTCACCGTTCTCTACCGCAGCCACAGCGTACATGCAACAAATGGGATGAGAATGGAGGACTGACTTCAAAGTCTTTCCTAAGACTAGAGTTGTGTCTCTAAAACTTCCTTATCTATCACGGATGGTGTTTGCTCTATGAAACCTCAACTTCTGGTGACTATAATGCCTCAAATGGTAGAAACAGAGCTCTCACCCCCATTTGCCTTCCAGGTGCTGCTTGGATTCTCATGGCGTGCCTGCTCATTAGACTGACCCTTTGTATTGACAACAGCGTAAATTAACTCGTGTGTAGTTCAACAAAGTGATCAAGGCTGAGCGTGTCGTATCTTTTGGAACAGTGTGAACGCGCTGAGACAAGATGGCTTGGCAGGCTCGAGGGCGGGCAGTGGAGTGGGTGTGCGGCAGCCAGGGAGGAGAGGAACACAAGCTGCGATCCCTAGGGAAAGGGGGGCCAGGACACTCAGGGACTTGCTGGGTACAGTAAGGCAGGGACGTGAGCAGAGGAACAACGTGACCTCCGTGGTACAGGCTCACTGAGGCTGCCATGTTGAGGAGGCTGCAGCGGGAAAAGGCGGAAGCAGGTGGAGGCTACTGGAACGGTCTAGGAAAGAAGTGACTATGGCTTGGTGCAGGCCGTGCAGCGCAGGTGATGAGGACGGAGCGATTCGGGTTGTATGTTAAAGGGAAAGCCGGCAGATTTGCAATGGATGGGTTGGAGTGTGTGTGAGAGAGGAGGCCCCTGGGTTGCTGCCTGGCCTGGCCAGCTGGAAGGGCGGGCTGAGTCCGGGAGGCTGCGGCTGCAAGCCTGAGTCACCCATTTGGGCGTGGACACACCCAGTCTAGATAATGAGTAGGAATGAGTCACACAGGACAGGGAGGTCTGGATTGGAAATCTGGGAGTCACCAGCCTATCAGGGTCACAAGCCTGGATGACATCACCTAGGGAACAAGTGCAGACAAAGAGATGAGGTCCGAGGTGGAACAGGACCCCTGCTCTCAGCGAGCTTCCACTCTAATAGGAGGAAACAGAAAATTGGCAAGTGGATGTCATCTGTCAGGTGATAAGTGCTACGTACAAAAATAAAGCAGGGGAACGGGATCGAGAATGATGGCAGGCGTGTGTATACGGATGTTATTTGTCACTGATGCAATTCAGCTTAGGAACCAGTGCTCAGAGAGAAAGTAGGCTGGACAGGTAAATTTGATGGTCACCATGTTTAACGACACGAGATTGGACAGGATCAATCAGGAATGGGCATAGATAGAGAAACGAAGCCTTCAGGCTTTCGGACATTTAGAGTGGAACTTGTCATAATGGGATTTGCTTTTGGAAATTCCCGTCGGATGAGGGATGGGCTGTCAGCAGAGCAGCCTTCCCTCCGAGCCACTTCCCTACTGTTTGCTCAATCTTTATTTACACCTTGGAGGCGAGTGACCCTACAGCTGTTTTTCCTGACGCACAGTCCTCAGACTGCTGCATCAGAACCAACCGTGGAGCTTGTGAAAAATGAGTTTCCCTGTTCCCCCCTAACCCTGCCGAATCAACCTCTGGACTGGACTGTGAAGGAGGCAAGTACTCATGTCCACGAGGTTTGAAAACGACAGCACGAAAGGCAGGGAGGACAGTTAGAAGAGAGGGTGGAAGGCACCCAGGAGGCACAGCGAGGAGTGAGGCTGGTGGGAGCGCCACGATCAGATCTACGTGTCATGCGATGAACCAGGGCGGGAGGACTTAAAATGGAAACATGAATTCAGCTCCTAAGAATTATCCTTACTGCTACGGTCAGGGCTATCAGTGCTGAGATTTCTTAGTTCTTAAAATTAGAATGTTTTTATATGAATGATTGGAGTTTTTAAGAAAAAAATGTTAGTTTTTTTGTAATCGCACTTCATGCTGAAGGAGGAGGAAAAACAATTATTTGGGATAAAATAGACACATCCTTCTCAGCACAACACAGAACAGGTTAGGCGTTATTCCAGAGATTGAAGGCTTATCACTGTAGCTTTCAAATAGAAAGGTGTCTGCATTTCATATCTTACGTTACGGTACTTGGTGTAACAGAAAAACAAATCCATATGTGAGACTTAAGTCATTACTCCATTACGGAGGCAGAACATATAGATATTAATGAAAACTGATGAGATTTATTCAGAGGCCACTTGTTAAGGCACATTTTAAAATTAAAACAAAAAACTATATATAAAAAATACAGCTGACTCCATTTTTGATTTATGAAAAATAAATTTATTACATAACACCTTGTTTTTAACAATGTTCAATTATTTTTTTTATTCAGAATACTTGTGTCATTCATGTAAAATAGTTTGATACAGTACATTGTATGTTATAGGTTTTTTTTTTTCCTCAAAAATTCTAAGGCTCTCCTACTCCTTCTCCTTTGCTGAAGTAAGGGCACCCTAAACAACGTGCGAACAAATTTTTTAAAAGAAAATTAATTGAACAAAATTATAATAGCACTACACCAACCAGCTTTAAAATCAGGACAAAATATCTGAATTGGATGCCGCACCTCTTTAAAGAAGTTATCATTCATGCTTTTTTCATCTTAAAGCATGCTCACAAATCAGCAACACCAACAGGAAAAATAAAACACTGTCTATGACAATCATTTTAGTTTGTTTGCTGAACCAAACATGTTTATATCAATGACAACATATTTAATTACTATCAAATAGCAGCTTTAATACCAGTCAAGTCATAGATTGAAAATAAAAACAAACTTATAAATTGGAAATTAATCTTTGGGAGTTTTGAAACCTTTCTGGAGAAACTATGTGGCTTTTTGTACTTTCAAAAAAAAAATCCAAGCAATATTCTTGGTCAAGAAACACTGATTGATTAATGTAGAAAATGAATCAATCCACTGATAAGACACTAAAAAGAAAGGTGTACCAAAATAATCTCGTTTTGAGTCTTGGTTATTTCATTGAGTTAACATATACTGTATGTTTCAAGTACCAGTTAAACTTTTGTGTCTGTGTGTGTACTATTGGTCAGATAATGTTGTTACACTGAAAGAATTCACCACATACAACGACAAATGCTTGCCCCTAGCACATTTCACAGCTTCAACTGCTACAGACTGTCACTGAAAAAAATGCATTGGTCAGTCTGAACCATGTCAAGTAAACTATGGAAGTAGCAAATCCACAACACAAACTGTGCTAGCACTTTCTTTTCAAGTCTAACTCCAAAATAGGTACAACTTGGAAGCCACTACCCCAATCTGTGAAAAGTGGTGGAACTTGGCTACTGGACATTTTGAAGATGTGGTTGTACAGTACATTCTCACGGCCCATACCAGGTTCCTGCGGAGAGCTGCACAGCCAGCCCTGCAGCATTCGCAACAGTGCATTGACAAGATTCAGACGCAGCTCAGTACCGATGTGTCTGATGTGAGTACTGTGGAGGCTGCTGGGAGGTAGCTGAGTATCCCATGCTGCTCTGCGGCTGTGATGTGCTTGGTCCAGGGTTGGGATAGGCAGCATGTGGATTGGAACGCTGGAAAGGAGAGGTGCGATTTAGGTGCGTCTTGGGACTGAGCGGCTCTATCCCAAGCAGCAAACCTTATATGTGATTGAAGTGTCTATACAGGTTTTGTGCTATGTACTAGGTTTAGAATTAGAAGACAGAAAACTCAAATCTTTAACATCAACTCTTTTTTAGGAAGGTCAGAAGTATTGCTGGTAAATAATACTAAGCCAAGTATTATTACTATGCTGTGCAAGTACATTTGTTTCTACAGCAGTAACCCCATTTTATGCTGTTTTGTATTTACTTGCGAAACAGTAACTAATTTGCTTGAGATATTTACACCTGAACTTAATGGTATATACATTAAGAAATTCAAAGCTAATTTACATGCTCATTTCTTCAATAGAAAACCTCCCACCACATACATACGACTGAATAAAAATGAATATGATAAGAAAAGGTACCATAGGATCAATTTCTTTGACATTAATACATTTTTATTCCCTTTAAACTACTGAATCTTATTTTCTGCTACAAGTTTATATACGAAAGTAAACATATAATCACAGAAACATAGGAAGAGTGGTATTCTCAATTCTAAAAAAGGCACGAAGAGGATGAACAGTGATAAAGTTTAGAGTTCTCTAATTTTTATCTGTTATATTATTTCTCTTCCCACATCTCTCTCATACTATTTGCTCCTAAGACAAATACTATAAAAGATTAACCATAATTTATTACTTTTCTCTTTCAAAGAATATTGAAAATTTAATAAGTCATATAATTCTAAACTCTGCCAATCCTAGCAAAAATAACATTTAAAAAAGAGTGGACACATACAATTGTAGTCAGAAATACTATTTTTTAAATCGCTCACAAAAACCAACTGCAGCAGTGACCCCAACAAGGCAGAAAGCATCATTTTCTTGAGAAGCAAAGGTATGAACACTGCTCTGCTTCATTCGAAGGATGCCGTCACCTTACTGTGCAAATACATCAGTGAGCCAAGAGAGGTGTACTCTTCCCATTCAGAGGGGGAAAAAAAGATGCTGGGGACAAACATCAACTCCCACAGATGTCTGTCCTTGATTTCCTTGTTTGGCTAACTGGAAGAGAAGCACTACTTAGACAATGATTTTGTGGAGTGACAGGCTGGACTTCTTCCTTAGCCAAAGCGATGTGTTAATATCTATCTAATTCTTGAAGTACAATAAAGGGCACTGGGCACTTATCAGTTTCATAAGATCTCTTTTTCTTTTTTTTTGGTAGGTAAATAACTCTAATTGGTCAGGTTTTCAGTATCGGGTATATGATTAGAACAAGCAGGCATGGAGCAGCAGATGTGAGTCTGGGTCTGCAACTGGGTCTCTGGCCATGTGCAGGTTATTTAACCTCTCTGAGCCTCAGTTTCCTGAAATGGCAATTACCTCCCAGAGTTAGCATGAAGATAAAGGAAATAATGTATGCTTCATATTTAGTATAATGGCTGGCAAGTAGTAAGTAATCAATACGCTCTTATGATTATAGCATCACTACCATCACTTAAGAAGCGTTTACTGTATACTGTGAATGCTACTTAGAATTTTAATGTAATGGTAATAAAAATGATGAAAGTATGTAATAATTGGTATCATCTCTTAAGTGCTTATGTTAGGTTAGCCACTGTGCCTTTGCATACATTATCTCACTTCATCCTAACTACAACTTCACCTTGATCATTATCCATATTCTACAAACAAGGGAACTGATAATGTCGGAATTACCACTCAAGTTACACAGAAGTAAATGACCAGGCTAGGATTTGAAAGCTTAGGTTCTTAAGCACTAAGGAATATTGCTTCAAAACCATAGATACCATTTATCAAGCTGCTACTATAAACCAGGTGCTAAGACATATCCTGTCTGACAATTCCAAGTTGTGTTTTACTAGTCTCATCTTACAGACGAACCTGTCCAACGCCACACAGTTAATAAATGGCATAATTTATGTTTGATCATTCCAAGCCTTTCTGGTTTAAAAGGCTAAACCCTTCCTATTACACCCCTGTCAATACTTTTCCATGCCAATAACATTTCATGTCTATGTACTCCCCCAGGTACACAGAGGTCTGTATTTCTCAATTACATCCCATTTTCTATTGATCACAAACCCACATGCAAACACCAACATGGCAGGTCAACACAAAATAAATTTGGAAATACCTGATAGTCTGAGGTCATGATTAGTCCACCTGAGGTAGTGGTAGGAGGAACAACTCTCACTTTTTTCAACGGGGGTCCCTGTGTGTGACTGCTGTCTTGATTCCCTGGGTGACCAGTTCCGTTAGTGTGGTTATTGCCCTGCTGCTGCTGCTGGTTCTTCTCAATTGGTTAAACACAAAAATAAAGTTCAACTCAGACGGAGAACAAAACACGCCCACGCAGGAAAACGCTATGGAAGCACCGATGGAACAAGAAGCTGCCAACGGTACTTTAATACTTACTTTGTCTCCTTTGTCATCGGGTTCTTCTTCTGTTAAAAATTCTCGTTTTGGGTAAGGGATTTGACAACCGGCAAAAACACTGATCATAAGAAAAACAGAAAAATGATTTCTGCTATGCTGATCAATGTTTCAAATGTTTCCTTAGGCAATTGTCACTTTAATCTTCTAAGATGAACTTTGCTTCTGTATGTGCAAATATAAAGCACCTTTCATACAACTGTGACATGAATCCTTCTCTGTAACCAGTGACGTTACAGCAGGCCACTTAAGGGCCTTTCATTGTGTAAAAATAATCAGTAATCAGCTAACATGTTTCAGCTTTATTACAGTATTATTGTTTTATTGCTTTATAATCGAAATATAGATTCCAGCTGAAATATGTGTCACTACTCAAAGGTAATTTTTGTTTTACTCTCTCTACTGCATTTAAAACAAAAGATAGTATAGGGAACACAAATTTATTTGGGAATGGTCTTTGCACTTTTGTAACATAAAACTGTAATTACAAGCAGTAAGCAATGTCAGTCTGAAGGAGCTACAGCATGCATAATCAACCTGTCAGTGAATAACTGGATTACTGCTGAAACTAATGTGATCAACATTTCATAAAGCACGAGATGAAGAGAAATGCCTCTTAACCATAAAGCCCCTAAATGACACCTCAATCAGCAGAGCTCATTTTGTGCTTATCATAAGGATTTTCTTGGGTCCCCAAATAAGAGGAGTGGCAACTCAGAGCTGACAACTAAACTAAATTCCATCACACTAGCGAGTTAACAAGCTGATCACTTACTCGGATGTAGGAAGTGGGTCTTCTAAGAAATAGGGATCCTGCATAGCCTGCTCTGAGGTAATTCGCTTTATTGGGTCCATGGTCAGCAGCTTCTGAAGCTGAAAATATAAATCATAAAAACATTACTGCATTACTTCTCACGTTACCTTTTAGCACCTACATGAGGGTAGTATATATTTTTTGATGAACATGATGACAACTTGGAGAGTATGCTCCCAAATTAACAACAAAACCCCTAATTATTAAATTTAATGTAGTAATTCACATTCATTATCTTGCTTGATTCTCAAATATTAACTACACTTATGTCTTCTGAATCTAACCCAATAACTTCTCCTCTATCTTATCTAAATTGCTTTATCCAATTTAGAACAAGACTAAAATTCTTGTATTTTCTATTCTTTTTCTATTAAGGGGAAAAACTGTTGCAAAACAAATAATACAGTAGTTGCATGTAGCTATTCAAATTTAGATCCCAATTCATTAAAAGTGAATTAAATTAAAAAATCAGTTTCCCAGTCATATTAAGTGTATTTCAAGAGCTCAAGAGCTAGATGTGGCTAGTGGCTACCCTACTGGACAGTGCAGATGATGACAAAGTTGTACCGCACAGTGCTGTACTGGCCTAAATAAAAAAGGTGATACACAACTTGTAAAGCACAGAGTTGTGATTATGAGTGGAGACTCTGGAAGTAGATTGCTTGGTTCAAATCCTGACTCAATATTTATTAAGTTGAGTGACACTGGGAAAATTACTTTAACCCATTTGTCAAAGGGAGATTAAAAATAGTACCTATTAGCACAAGTTTGTTTTCAATATTAACCCGCATATGTGGAAAGCAATTATAATGGTGCCTGGCAAAAAGAAAGCACTATATATGTGCTAGCTATTATTATTGCTATTATTGCTACATACAGAAATGTCACACTAATGTGAAGATTCAGTATTTTTTAGTTAAAGCATAGTTCATTGAAGGTTCTATGAACTAGAGTATTTGATTCTAATACATGACTTAGGAGATTATATTGTGGTCTCTTAGTTTATACTCTGATTTAATGCAGTGGTTTCTAGATTTTAGGATGCATCAGAATCACCTGGATTCTTAAAACAGACTGTGTGGGCCCTACTCACAGGGTTTCTTATTGGTAGATGTGGGCAGCAGCCCAAGAACCAACAAGTTCCCAGGTGATGCTATGCTACTGTACTGTAACCACACTGAAAAAAACCAATGAACTAATGACACATTAAACTTAAAAGGAGAAGACCAATTTTAGAGGATAAAAAGACATATTTAAAAATGTAGATAAAATGCTGGTAGGGCAAGATTCAAATTTAGTTTTGATGATCTGGTATTTCAGACAAAGCACAATTTCATTTTTAAGGTTGAAAGGAAAGCCTGGATTTGCTATTTAAAATACCCAACAGTTTTAATGGAATTAGAATAGAGCTTTCAAATGGGACCACCCAAGATTATCAACAATTAAGACAGGTCACCCCAGTAACAAAAAGCAAACCAACTATAAGGAAGGTATATGCCTAGAGTTTTAGTGGTGATGGTAGGGAGAGTCACCTCAGCTGTGATTGAGTAGCAAGGAATTGGGGGTGGGTGGGTATAGAGTGATTCCCCTAAATCGTGACTTTTAGTCTACCCTCACTATCACTTTCTTAGAATAAATAAGCCCATAATTTTGACTTAACCTTCCAGTTTGGGTCCTATGGTAAGTACATTATAATAAACCATCATGTGGTTAATACGTTGTGTGGTTATATGATAGATTTAGCACTGCTTTTTAAATTGCTGATAAGATATGAAATAGATGATATAAAATGTGACATAATAAGTAGAAGATATAGAAGCAGAAGCAGAAATAGAAGAAATGTTTGCCAAGTGGCCTGGTTGCAATAAAGGAAAGTTTAACCCTTTCAGGCTAAGAGAATTTCCATCTGAGAATACTTGAGAGTAAGGATTAAAAGAATTTTAAGGCAAGCAAAACACAACCTGTTTCTCCAAATTCCCCCCATTTTTTTTTTTTTTGAAACAAGGTCTCACTGTTGCCCAGGCTGGAGTATAGTAGTGCAGTCATTGCTCACTGTGGCCTTGAATTCCTAGGCTCAATTGATTCTCCTGCCTCAGCCTCCCAAGTAGTGGGGAGCGAAGTCTCGCTCCATTACACCTGGTTAATTCTTTAAATTTTTTGTAGAGATAGGGTCTCACTACATTGCCCAGGATGGTCTTGAACTCCCAGGCTCAAGCTATGTTCTCCCACCTCAGCCTCTTAAAGTGCTAGGATTACAGGTGCACACCACCATGCCCAGCTAAAAATTCCCTTTATGTGTTATAAACCTTTTTCTGAAAACATAAAGCTGAAAAACATACTTAATTATAGGGTTACAATGGTAATTTTATTGTAAACAAATGTAAGTTGGCAATAGTTGAATATAATCCCACCATAATACCATTACACAGTAATAAATATGGTGTCTCTCACACTTTCCCAGAAAAAGGAAATAACACATACCTTCTTTGAAAGAGTTCTAATACACAAGGTTCTAAGCGTTATCCTGGGAGTTAAGAATTTTGTAAACAAACTTTCAAAGAGTTGAAATACAAAATAATTAGCTTTACAGAAAATATTTCTGAATGGTGGGATTGTTTTTTTCTTCTTGATACTTCTCCGAAATCTTTGAAATTTTAACATAACCAATGAAAAGGAGTAAGTACAATTTTAAAAATGTTTTTAACAGACTTGTTACATTACTACCTTTAGAAAATCTAATGTGACCAAACATTAGTCTGTCAAGCCATGATATGGCTCTGGAAAAGTAAATATGTTGATGTCTTTACTGGCACGCACCAATAAGATCTCTGCATTCACCACTAAAGTACTCTAAGAGTGCTAAGTAATCATATAAATTAACCCAACTCAGGTTGGGCTAGTCAATTAGGAAAAAATGCATTTCATTAGTACTGTTAGCTAAAGCTTACCAAGTGGAATGCTTTACTATCTGGTTTAACTTTATGTTTTTCCATATACTTGATAAGGCTGCAGTTTGTATACCTGAAAGAGAAATACTATGAGATCTCTATATCAGATTTGAGGTTAATTTAACATTAGTTAAAGTTCTTCCAAATAGAATTATTTTGATCATAACATATAAAATGTATATTGAAAATGGTATGATCAGCACAAACAGTATTACATTAATTTTATATTTAATTCAACATCCATAATAGTCACTTTTGAATGGTTATTGATGATTAAATATTAAATGTAAAACAATTTCACGAATGACACTGAATACTTTTTCATATAAATTATATTTTAAAAATTATTTTAAATAACACCTCAGTTAAAAGTTTAACTCAGCCTTACCAATAAGTTTAAAATACATTTCTGATAAATCTATAAACCGTACTCTCCCAATCCTTGACCTTGCATTGTAAATAGGTAAAATATTCATTCTTCTCTACTAAAACTTGTTTAAAATTAATACATAACCTAGGTTGGTAGGCAAGTGGCTATTAGCAAGGTTTATTTATTTTAGTCTCTTATTTGTTTAGCCATGATACTTCCCACTAATGTCTAATTTCCAGCAAGTAGTAAATATGGAAAGAAATGAATTCATTTTTTCTCAAATCCAAATCAGCTGCTAATATTAGTCACCTCCCTCATATCATTTAGGTATCTTTAGAAATGAAGACTGTCATCATGAAAAATATTAGCGTTAAACAAGTAAAATGACTTATTAATCTTATGTTGAATATTGTATCATGTTGAATATTCAATCTTATACTGAGTATTCTGGGAAAGCAAAAATCAACAAAGTCTATTTTCTTTCCAACTTACGTATTTCTTCTGAAATCTTTCATTAATGTCGAATGTTCGGGCATCTTTTTTATATCTTCCCAATCTTTATCTGTGAAATACATTGATAAGTTTTTATGTTGCCTAGGTTCCTGTTCTCAAGAATTTTTAAAAAGGTTACCATCATTTTGATTACATTTCCTATACCTTTAACCTCCACGAAAGCTCAGACTTCAAATAAATGCTCAGCTACAGTAAACATCTTGAACTGTAAATACAATTCCTTACCTCTTGTATAGCTTTAGATATCTGTTTATCTTTTTAATTTTAAACTGCCCATTTTCTGTATGTTTTACTATAAGTTGCCTCAATTTCTGTCACTAGAGGGGAATAAGTTATGAGTAAATATTTCTATTTCTATTATTAAATAGTCCTATTTCTATTAGTAAAACCACTTATTTTCCCTTTTCCACCAGATTTCTTGGTTAAATTAACAGCCAGTCTCTTCAATGAGAAATCTAAGATCTTTCCCCTCAGTGGCTTTAAGATATACTTTTTATGATATGGCTCTCCTTTCACCTTATTAAATATATTTTCTTTACATCAGCGATCAACGTAAGCAGTAATAACTGCAGCAGAATGGGGTAGTAAGATAGAACTAGTGTATTAATAAGCCAGCTGGTACCTTGGCTAATCTTAGTAACATTGCCCAAAACAACTCCAGCTACTTAATTTACCAAAGAGATTCAGTACAGAATGTTTTATCGGCATTCGAGTTGCAAACAATACGTGCTAGATAACCATCACTGCCAAGGGGCTTGTACTGAGAGTCTACTAGGTGCACAGCACTAAAACGGGTAACTTAACAGCACCTTTAGGTTTTAAATGGCCTTTAAAGGTTTGCTTTCCTTAGAACCTACTTGTAAAATTATTGATATTTGCTAACTATCCTCCAAAGATACCACATACTGTAAACTAAATAGATACTCCTAAATAAAATTTTCTTCTGAACTATTTCCTTGCTCCAATTTCTCTATTTTGTCAATTTCTCAAGCCAGAAATCTTGACATAATCTTTTAGTCTTCCCTTAATTACACAGTTCTATAAAAAATTAACATTTGTCTTTTATTCTCCATCCTTATTATCACTTTATGCCTCGTAGTATTGCTATAGCAAGCGGCAGGTTTCTCAGATTTCAGTTACCTCTTCTTGATTTTTACCAGCCACTGCCTTACTATCTTTCTCAAATATAACATAAATCATAAGGTCTAGTACTGCAGACCTTATCATGGACTCCTATTCTTTAGCTTATCAAATCTAACCTCTGCTGCCTGCTTTTCAGGCTCCTTATTCACGGAGCCCACCCTCACCGCTGACCCACACATCCAGCATCGTCTCCCACAGAGGTCTCTGCCACATCCACCCCCTCACTGAAGCCACGTTCCTTTCCCTGTGGGCTTCAGAAATGGTGGACACATGCAGAAGCAGGAATGACCTTTCCTTCCTATCTATCTACTCAAACCACACCTATTTTTTAAACATTCTGCTTATAGCAGTACAATGTAACTCCAAGAGGGCAAGAATCACGTCTGTTACATCATCAATATTTTTTACTTAAGACAGTGCCTGGCACATGGCAGGCACTCAAATATTTCGTGAATAAATGAAATTCCCATCACAACAAAGTGCTCACTCCAGGATAGTTGACCAATTTTTGAGAGAGGTAATATCTGTGTAGTTACTCTGCATTTACTGATAATTAACACCCTTATAGAGGAATGTAGAATTAAAACTCCCAGATATATCTGTATTAGTCTTGAGTTATAGTGACCTGAGAAATATTCCTACTAAGAAACAATTTCTATTAAATACTTAACCATAATTATTTAGGTGTTTAAAACACATTCCCATTATTCTGGACCTCTGCGCAGTTTTTGGTAACTGATGAACTACCATTCTGTACTATAACTAGGGACTGAGATATAGTGGGAGAGAACTGATGACAGGGATGGGACACCTGTAAACTGTTACCCTGTTGCAAAACAGTGGGCTAGCTCACCATGGAGTACTGCGACTTTCACCCACATTCTGACTGTTCTAACAGAACACTTAAAAGAATGTTCTAATTTGACAAGGGTTATATAACAAAAATGCTATTATTCAATATAATGTGATTCTGTATAGTGCCCTAAATAGAAATGATGTTCCAAATCTGTATTCAAATGCCAAATAGGGGCAAGATTATATGTGCTACCAGAAAACAATTCCTACTAATGAATTTTATTTATAGTTTCTACTGGTAAGAACTAAAGGCACCTTTTTAATACAGATATTGCAAATATCTTTTTTGTTTCAGATATCAAGCAACAAAACAAAAAAGCAAAACAAAATGAAACAAAAATCGTCCTCAAATTCAAGAAACCCATGAATATTTTCATGCTAAGATGTGAACTCCACAAATTTTGCTGACTATTTCTATGGATCTTTGGTAAATGCAAGTCATAGAAACAAAGAATCGAGTAATAGTAGCTTTTATCAACTAAAAATATACACCTTTCCAATGAAGACATGTAAGTTCAAACAACAGTGATTTAAAAACAAAAACAAAAACATAATGTGTACCTGCAGGAAATCCCATTACATTGAATATTCTGTCCAGCTGGTCATGGTGATAAGGATTACTAGTTTTGATGTCCTCTTGTCGACAGTGAAATATTGGTTCTGACGTTAGTAGTTCTGCAAATATACACCCTATAGCCCAAATATCTTTAAAATAAAAAGAAAAAAAAAGAAAAGAAAAAAAAAAAGGCAAGGAAAAAAGAAAAAGAAAGGAGGAAAATAAAGTGGTTCTTTCCAAAAGAAAATACATTTTTATTTTGGTGGGGAGTGTTTTTTCTTTCTTTCCCTAATAGGTCATATTAATTCCTAAGCAATTATGATAACTAAAATCACAAAACATTGTTTGTAAATATATACTCCCATGCCACCCACCCCAATTTTTCATTCCCTATTTATACCTCCATCCCACCCAGTGGCTTCTCACTAAGCCTAATTAAACTTATTAGCTGGATTTTTGGCGAGTATTAAATGCCCAAACATTACCTTTTCTATGAAATACATACAAAGCTGCATATGGCGCATGGGAACCACAAAGAAAACTAAACAAAAAATAAACAGAAAACCCAAACAGCCTACGAAATTGAGCATTTGCCAAAAACAATCAGCACAAATTTCTGTAATAATTTTTTTCTTATTTATTACTTGCTAATTTGTAAAGTCTAATAATTATCCTCTCATGATAGCACTAATTAACAGGGTGCTATTCCAAGAGACAGTGCTTGACCTCCAACAGTCTAATGAAACAGCATTTCTACTTTAATGGTTTTTCTTTTAAAGTGCTTCTTTATGCTACAGCAGTGTTGCATTTTGCAAATTTAAGTATTTAATAAAAAGGACAAGGAAATAGCAAAATACTACCTTTAAAATGGGCTATAAATTCATAAGAATTATTTATAAAAGCCAGGCTAATGGATTTCTCTGTACACAACAAAGTAAATTCCCTTCATTCACAAAACATAGATTTACTTTAATTCACATTAAATTTGTACTCAATAGAACTATTAATAGAGGCAAGACCTTTTTGCCAACTTAGAATTTAAGGCTGAAAATATTTCATTTCTACCCTTAACAAATCCCTAAACTGGCAATGTTAATTTCCCTACACTAAGTATAATGGTGTGCACACAGCAGACACTCAATAAGTGGTTTTTGATTGATCTAACCAACACCTGTGGCAAATATAAATAACAATAGGGGACAAATAAAAATTATATTATTAAAGCTGATTGTTTAGGTACGTTAATAAACTCACTTAAAAAGGAAATGAGAAAAAAATGTTATTTATAAGTGAGAATTTCTAAACTCCAAAACTGAATATAGACACTTAATGTAAAATTACCACATTTATATTGCAAAGTAACAAGTTAATTACCTATTTACTTAAATATTCATACTTTGACTACAAGGGAGTGATTTTTAAAAATGATATCATATTTGCATACCAGAGAACCAAGTCTAGCCAATGCCACCATATGGAAAAGTCTCCTCAAGAAATATAGGCCAAGCTGTTTTGTTTTTATCATCAGAAAGTAAATGGGAAAATTAATTATTTTGTGATTACTCTTTTTACACAGGTATCTCATGTAGATCTGACTTTTGATAATCTTACTCAATGGCCAGATAGGCAAGCTCAGTAGATCACAAAAAGGGACGATGGATCACTTTGCATGTTTAAACCTCTACTCACAGCATACTCAAGAGACACTGTAACAATTCATCTGGTTAGCTATTAAAAATTCCAAAGAAGGAAATAAAATATGTCAAGAAAGATGAGAGGTAAGTACTTCAGCTATCATTACAGCTTTACTGCTTTTAAAAGGCAATTAGGAAAAAACAGTTTACTGAACCTTGCTTAACCCCACCCTAGTAGTAGCATCTTTCTTTGTATCTTCTACCACCTCTCTATCAATTTCACCATCCTTCTTTCCTCAAAATTCAGAACCAGACATTAATTATGAACTTTGAGTCAGCCAATCAGGCTATTATTTCAGACAAATTTCTAATTTTTGCATGTAAGTCTCTCATTCCTACCTTGCCTATTTTTTCAGATTGTGCCAAATTCAGAGAAGTCTCTTTCCTGCTTACCTAACTCCTTCCAGAAAGACTTTTCAAATTAAAAACATAAATCACATATACTTCTTAAAATGTGTGACGCTCATATTGAGCTAACCAGGCAAAGTAAAGTAACTGGCACGTTACATATACAACATATACAAAAATTGCGAGGAAAAAGAGTCTGTTCAATAAGATAAATATTTTAATCCATAGACATACTAATAGCAAACTTCTATCTTGATAAAAGGGAGTAAATTCTCATTTTCCCTATTTCATTGTATATTTCCCACTTAGCAGAATACCACAAATTTAGTAGGCATTCAGCTATTTGAGGACAAATACTGGAGCTTCAAAGTCCATACTGTAGTAAAACTTTTAAGACTACTTTAGTGACAATTAGAGATTTATATTCCCCTTTCAGCCTTCTCCCCAAAGTCAATCAAAGAAACAAACAAACAAAAAAAACCCCACTCAAAACTGAATTAAACTTTGTCCCCGGAATGACAATGTTTACTAATTACTTCCCCTCTTTGGTTTAATGATTCAACTTGCCGTTCTGTACAACTGAATAAATGGTCACAGCACTAAAATCTGTTTGTAGTGGTGGTGCTGGTGGTGGGGGGGCATGTTAGTTTGATGTGTTCAGATGAGATTTTTTCCTCCACACTTTTGTTTCTTTTTAGTAGCTTAACATAATCCACCAAATTCCAATAAAAGATTTAACCCTTCTAAATGACATAAAATGAACATATGAATGTATTCAGCAAACTGTATGTATGTTCAACTACAAAGGTTATTCTACCACCTGCTCACAATACAACTACCAGACAGGGCAGTCAAAATGCTAGGGCAGTTCTTGCTATGTAGCTTTAATGGTGGTGTGAGGAATTTATTGAGCATTTATTTTACTGAACCTTTACGATACCTCTGTAGGTAATATGAGGAATGGAACTGTGGCAGAGACTAGAATCAAGGAAGAAGTTTCATGTTATATTTCCTTATCTTTGTTTTTAAAAACATATTAAAAATGGTTGTGTGTGATTTCTATTTCAAACAAAAAAGCAATTATTAAGATAGATATCTACATTTTAACTTTTGAGCCAATGTTTTGATAGAAGAAAAGGGTCCTCCAAGATCTTGGGCAAGTCAGAGTACACTGGATGTGGGTGTGGGGTAGGGATCACCACTGCTGAGGAAACGGCACTGACCTTGCTTGGTTTCAATCATTTGCACCCAGATCAGTTTCCTCTGTCCCTACCTCAGGAGGCAGTAGTTGTTATCTAAAGCCATAGAACTTTAGAGTTGAAGGAGATCTAAGAGGATGACTTAGACTAAATTTTCATTTTCAGAAAATGAGGCTAAAGGACTAAATGTCTTGCCTAAACACTGCCCCATGCACCTTGAGTGAGAGATAAGACAACTCTTTGTTACTTCCCCTGTTCAAAGATAAGTTATTTTATGCATATATTCATACTGTCTTTTCCACTGGACTGTAAGTCTCTTAAAGGTAGGGCCCATAATTTGCACTCATATCAGCTTCTCCTAAGTTTTAAAAAGTTTACAGAGTAGTTACCCAATAAATTTTGATGTTGGTGAGAAGGAGAAAAATATAAAAGCCTTCTCTCTCCCAAATTATGCAGCCATTGGAACAAGGTAATCTACCTTTCTAACTCCTGATAATTAGCTTTGTGGCACACACCCTACATTAAAACTGCTGGACTGCAGAATGTCCTAGTGAATAATAGGTTACATAAATCTTCTTAATGCTCCCAATAAAACGTAAGTTTCTTAGGAAAAACAAGAAGATAATAAATAATGAGCCAGAGTCACAAGCTTCTGTGATAGTGTATTTTTTACTTAATTTAAAACAATTCGAGTCTGTAAAAGGAGCTAAAATTAGGTAATCATTTTATTATTTATACAGTCTGTTACTATGTATTACCAAAAGTAACACTGCTTTTAAATATTCATTTTCTAGGTGGAAAAAAACAGCTGAGTGTCATAATTAGTTTATATAGGTGTCTTAAATGCATTTAGAATACACTTGCAAAAAAGATACCCAAATGTGTGTTTAGCTAATAACATGTACTCAGAAATAGGACGGACTTAAATAATTTCTACTTTTCCTTCTTGTCAGGGACAAGATTAATTTTTTATTGAACAAAGAAATTCATTCAAAAATTGAGTTTTCACTACATACCACATAGGCACAGGCTTATAATGGTGAACAGGTAGGTGAGGGCTACTTTAGTGGATTCGAGATACCATTCCAGGCAATGAAGGCAGTAAGATGGAAGTGTGATGGGGGAAGTAGGGTGTTATTTTAGACTGTGTGATCAAGGAAGTTCTCTAAGAGGTAGTACTTTGACCGAGGTCTGAATGAAAAAAAGAAACTGGCCATGTGGCGACCTGGAAGATGGAAGGCAGACAAAACAGGTAAGAGAAGGGCTCAGTCCACAGCACTGTTGTGGAGTGGGAAGCAGATTTGTCCTACACAACTCCTGGAAGATTTTGTACTTGGAAACACCAGCTACAAAGTCTGTATTTTGAACAGTTGAGTCTCCTCCCCACTCTCTGCCGTTGCCCTGGGGCTGCCACGTACATAAAGGTTGGGCCAAAAGTTGGAGGATTCTCCCTGAAGACTTTGGTCTCAGAGGAAAGATTTTTTTCTAGCATTTAGGGTTTCCCCAGGTAATGGTGGCTCTCAGCTGGATCACCCTAAAGTTGTCAGTCTCTGAGCCCCATGATCTATGTGCACAAAAGTTCCCAAGTGGCTTTTTTATTAAATATGGAAAGAGACACACAAGGGTCACCGAACAGTTGAAGAGCACTTGCCACATGGAAGGGAGAGATCGAGACACACAAATGAAAAGAGTGCCTACGAAGAAAACAGATAATTATTATGGGAATGTTGCAATTTACAAACACTGTTACCACTGTTCTCACAGATATTTGAGAAGTTTTTCCTTCCATAAAAAATACAAGATGCTATGAAAAATGAGCAATCAGAGAACTTAAATCAGAGAAATAAAAAAGACAAAAGCAAAAAAACATGAGAAAAGTAGTATAAAGGGTCAATCCAAGAAGTTTAACATGTGACTACACTGAGTTTAGAAAAGAGAGAAACAGAAAACATTGAGGAGGAAATCAAAGGACTACACATAAGAGTTTTCCACAGATGTGATATGCATGATATGAATGTCAGATTGCGTGCACTAAGTGGCCAGAATATCATTAAAATGTAAGAATGAGAAACCTTACTTGTTTTCAGAAAGAAAAAAACCCAGGTGATCGACCAGTGATTGGAAACAAGATTGACATGAACCTTCATTAGCAACACTGATGCTAGAAGACAATGGAGGAGTATTATCAAGTTCTGAGAGCAAATTATTTTATACCTAGAATTTTAAACCCTGCCAAACTATCAAGTATGATAAAGGCATTTTTCAGAAATACAAGAATTAGAGAAGTTACCTCTAAGATACCATTCCAAAGGAAGTTAAATGAGAATATACTGTAGCAAAATAAGGGACGAAATCATGAGATCCAGAAAGCAACAGATCTAACCAGAGGAATAAAAAAGGAAAAAGTCAGGATGAAATGGTACATGATGCCTGAAGACCAACCAATTCAGAATAGAAAACTCCAGGCTGTAGTTATCTAGCAAAAGAAATGTGGGTTTAATACCATTCTGGAGAATGCAGAACAAATTAAGAAGGTAATGAAGACATAAAACAAATAAAGACATAAAATAAAAAAAGAAAAGCGCATTAGGAAAAACTACTTGGTGATGAAATACAACCGAATGAAATGAAGCAGAATACAGATATCAGGGATGGAGAAGTAGTGGTAAAAGGAAGGTAGTAGCTGAGCATTAAAGTCATTATAATTTGTAACTTAAGCATAAACAACTGTGGGCATTATGGTTAGCAAACAGAAAAAATGTAAACACTCACAGAGTGATGATATTACTACTGTAGCTTATAAATTGAGAGGCTGGTAGGGAAAGAAGTGTAAGAGCACTAACTTCCTAATTCTTCATAAAAGGGAGGTAATCAATACTATC